TCCTAAAGTTGAAAAATGTCAATTTTTCACACCCTATATCTCTGTAATAATTTCCGCTAGACCCCAAGTGTGATACATCGATGAAATCAGCTCTTCAGGGAGAATCTAAAAATGCAATAAAATACAGAGTGTTCCATTTGAAAAATCAAAGTTGCTACTGCTTTCTAATAGAAGCGGCCACACCGCATTGTCGAAAATATTTTAGTTGGCTAGAGAATGTCCGAATATGCCCTCCATTGAATTTTCAGAATGATCCGTTGTCTGGTTCACCAGAAACGTCTAATGTGCCATCCACCGTGAATCAGCCTGTATAGTTTGTGTGCCCCTCAAGAAACCATGTCAAAATCACGTGTTCTAGAATGATCAATAAAAGAATGTTTCGTTTATTGCATCCATGGAAACTGTCACAAACAGGGTCAATACAAATCAATAATGATGGCTGACGGTGAAAACATGAAATTTCAAAATTTGGAAAAGTATGATATTATAAAATGTTTAAACCTTTCTAACGAAAATGTCGAAGCAGCGATGCAGGTATATTTAAACAGGTAAAGAATCGGCATATTTTATTCTGTTACAAAATTTAAAAAAATGAAAAAGATCTTATTAGGTTTCCAGAAAGACGTCAGCCATCTCGGGCTACGGTATTCCGGTTAAAATCCAATCTTTTGAATTATGGCTGCTATTCAAAACCTAGGCAACCTCATGTTGAGAGAAATGAAGCTGGCGAAATTGATGTTTTAGCGTGTGTGGAAGCAAGACTCCAAATTTCCTGTAGAAAAATAGAGGAAGAGGTAGGAGTTTCAAAAACAAAAGTGCAAAAAATTTTGATAAAAGGGTGATATTTTGAGTTAATAATATTCAGAAAGTAATAAATAAATGCATGTGTGAAAGAATTCACGGCCTACTATTAAAAAAACAAACACAAATATGGATTTTTCTGATTTTTGAAGATAAAATGTGATAAAGATTAGGTTGTTATATATCAGTGAATTCAGGAGAAAAATTGCGAAAAATTGACGTCATTTAAAAAATACCAAGTTTGTGCCCAATCTTGAAAACAGTGCTTTGAAAAAAAATCAGAATACGCCACTGACTTTCATGTAGAAATATCTATTATAAGCAGTTTTCTTTTTTTTTTTTTTCATCTTATACGGGGCCTCCAAAAGTGAACATTCTCGTTTTCCCCCTGTATTTCAGGAACAAGAGTAGTTGGAATATTTCTGTTTGTGGCTTTGAAAGTTTTACAAAAAAGTGATACAGGGTCGCGGAAACCGCATGTCTCTATCTTCAATAATAGCTGAGATACAGTGCAGTCTCAACCAAAATGGGACACAGTGTACATCCTTGACTCGATTTTGACCAATAAGAATTCAATACATTTTTTTGAATTATTAGTGCAATCCCTTATGTATACAGTATCCCCTATATAACCAAGCTATACAGGGTGTTTCTTAAATACGTGTAGAAAATTCAGGAGCTTGTTGCTGACGTCAAAATAAGAAGAAAAGTTCGTATAAGTTATCGTTTCTGAGATACAGAGTGTCAAAGTCGAGGTCAAAGTTGAATACTTATTTTTGTTTCCTGTTTATAAATTTCAAAATAATTGTGATACTCGAATGAAGTTTGGTATCTAGGGGTTTTTTTCAATGACAATATAAAATTTTATGTTAGTTCGTCTTTTTCGTGGGGGTGGAGCCACCTACATGTCTTTTGAGTCTTTTGAAAAGTCATAACTTTTTTGTGCGTACCTGTATCACGTTTCATAGTAGAAAAAATTACGTAGAATTTATTCTATAAGTCGTTTATCCGCGTTTATCAAATTATATTTAACCTAACAATATTACGTGAGCAAATTTCATTGATACTAAATAGAACTTCTTGTAAGAAAATATATGTCTACCAACTTTAGTAAATTGAGCTACTATCGTCTCATTTTTAACCCCATAAAGTTAGCAGAGCCACTTGCTGAAAAATTGATGAAACCTGTTCCAATGATTGTCGGATAATTATCGAGAATTTGTCGTGGAAGAAAAAAATTTGTCGCGCTTATAGTTTTTTACAGGGTGGCTGTGCTAACTTAATATTAAGTTAGCAGTGCCACTGGAAAATAAACGTCCAATGGAATCACAGTTGTTTATAGCATATATATCTATACATTTTTCTAGGACTTCCCGGTTTCTGCAGAAATTTCGCATTTTTGGCAACAGCGCATTAATTAAATGATCTCTTATGCTCTTTTCGTAACGAAATTGGAATATTAATTTTATTCGCTCCTGAAGAAACTGAGGTTCCCGACAAATTTGTTCTGAACACTGGACAATAATTTGATGCACCTCCGAACGAAAAAATTCTAATGAATTAACATAAAATGCGCAGGTACTGCCATCGTCCACCAATATTCTAATATTGGTGGACAATGGTACTGCTGAGAGAATATAAATAATGGAATTTTAACGTATCACGGTGAAAATTTCTGTCATTCAGCCTTCAAACGTAGTTTTTTTCTGCTTATGGCAAATGAAATGTTCCATAAACAACGTCATATTTGACATTAACGTTACGAAAAGAGCATAAGAGATCATTTAATCAATGCGCTGTTGCCAAAAATGAGAAATTTCTGCGGAAACCAGGAAATCCTAGAAAAATGTATATATATGCTATAAAAAAAGGTTTTTGGGATTTTCACGTCAGATGCACTTCGACAATTACTCGACAATTATCAATAACAACTGTGATTCCATTTGATGTTCATTTTCCAGTGGCACTGCTAACTTAATATTAAGTTAGCACAGCCCGCACAGCCACCCTGTATAAAAAAAACTATAAGCGCGACAATTTTGTATCTTTCATGACAAATTCTTATCAATTTTTCAGCAAGTGGCTCTGCTAACTTCATGGGGGTCTCATTTTTCATCATTTTGTGTAACAAAAGTAAGTCAAATATATTTTATTTAAACTAACATTGTCGAGTTCCTTGTGAGGAAATATATTTCCATCAACTTTAGTGCAATAAAGTTTGTCAATAATAAAATAGGTTGAACAACCATCAGCTGCCTTATTATCTAATATTTTGCGTAAGTAAAGTCGAAAGGCAGTAAAGTCGGTATTTTGTATTTTATTTAGCATAACCTTATCTTAGTATTTTTTTAAATTTCGGTGTGAGATTTTCTTACCGAACATCACCTAGCTTTAATTGAAAACCTAAATTTTTTTCGAGAACACGAATATTTTGAAAATTTTTCCGAGTCGAAGACGAGGGAGATTTTTCTAAATATTTTTGTTCACGAAAAAATTTCCGGTACATAATGATGATTGAAGCTCTTGTGGTGTTATAGGTGAAAAACTCATCATTATCCGATTTTGATTGAAAATAAAAGAACAAAAAATTAACAGACTCTAATAGGTTCGAATGTTACAACGCGTCTGAACTGCCATCCTAGAAAAACTTTTTTTTCCACTCCTTTTTTACATTTGCCTAATATACAGTTGCAACCGTAAATTAGGCAGAGGAAACTTTATTTTAATATCTCCTAAATTATAGTTGCAACTGTAAATTATAGGAAGTGTTTGGAAAAAAAGTTTTCTCTCAGTTGCAACTGTAAATTAGGCAGAGGAAACTTTTTTTAATATCTCCTAAATAATAGTTGCAACTGTAAATTATAGGTGTTTGCGGGTGTTTGGAAAAAAAAGTGTTCTCTCAGTTGCAACAGTAAATTAGGCAGAGGAAACTTTTTTTAATATCGCCTAAATTATAGTTGCAACTGTAAATTATAGGTGTTTGGAAAAAAAAAGTTTTCTCTCAGTTGCAACTGTAAATTAGGCAGAGGAAACTTTTTTTAATATCTCCTAAATTATAGTTGCAACTGTAAATTATAGGTGTTTGGAAAAAAGTTTTCTCTCAGTTGCAACTGTAAATTAGGCAGAAGAAACTTTTTTTTCATATGTCCTAATTTACAGTTGCAACTGTAAATTAGGAGATGTGTAGATAACAGGTATCTTGTTCTAATTTACAGTTGGAACTGTTAATTAGGCAACAGATTTTTTTTTCACTATTTTTTTCACGAACATTTGCCTAATTTACAGTTGCAACTGTAAATTAGGCAGAGGAACCTTTTTTTAAATATCTCCTAAATTACAGTTGCAACTGTAAATTAGGTGTCTGGAAAAAAAGTTGTCTCTCAGTTGCAACTGTAAATTAGGCAGAAGAAACTTTTTTTTTAAAATCTCCTAAATTATTGTTGGAGGTGTTTTGAAAAAGAAAGTTTTCTCTGCCTAATTTACAGTTGCAACTGGCAGAAGAATTGTTTTTTAATATGTATCAGATGTGTAGAAAAAAGTTCTCTTGTTCTAATTTACAGTTGCAATTGAAAATTAGGCAGATATTCGTGAAAAAAAGTGTTTTTGGGATGGCAGTTCATCAAAATCCATAAGAAACACATCCATAATATTGGATGTTTTTTTGGCGGTGCCGCGGTGCCAATTTCTGTTACCTACTGTACTGACCCTATCGAGGACCCTATTGAAAAAAAAAACAATCTACGCGCCTGTTGTCCTCATATATAATATGATTTCTATGGTTGAATTCAAACAACAAACATTTCACTAAGATTAGAAGTGAAACCACCGAAACCCAGCAGCAAGAAGAAACATAATGATAATACTTAAGTATATGCAAAACATCTACTATCTGAACTGAATACAAATTAAATCTCCACAGCTTAGCAGTTTGATAGATACCACTCATACCCATAAACAAACTACCAAAGAATAGTAGGTTAGTCTTTGAAACTACACTCTAATGATTACTGATATGTATGCACCAGTACAAGGATACCAGTACGCACGATCGAGTATCTATAGCAAATTGAGTACTTGGATTTTTAATCATCAGATCATCAGGGCAGGGTTTTATTCCAAGATCAATCATTTAATTCATCACATAAACTATACATGGATCATTGATAATAATAATAAGACCAGCTCCCACTACAACTTACTCAATCTTTATGATCAGTGATAACTGACACTGATACGGCTTGCCTTAATTTATGTTTCATTGATCAATGATACACCTTACTCCACATTTTGTTGCATTTTACATTGATCATTTTCATGATTCTATGAGAGAATTTAATAACAAAAACAATAAACATAACCTATGAAATTCACCACGTGCAATCGTCGTCCATGCATCATGGATTTGACATTTACGAATGTGACTACAACTCAGGCCGGTCGTGTTGTAACCGAATGTAACCTAACCTACTAGTGGCAGAACGCAAGAAATAAAGCGTGTGGTGGGGGAACGTATATGGCCTATGCGGGTATCTGCTTGTGTCGACGCACGAACTGAATCCCTTCTTCATACAAAACTTTTCAAGCATTCGGATGGTAGTGGAGTGGATGTAAATCCAATGAACTCAATACTGAGTTCTGAGTTCATTGTGTAAATCACGCCGGCGACTCGGGTGATTGATTAGATTGTTTGGAAATAGAAGTCTAATTTTTTATGTAGAAACGAACTTTGTCTTCCTCAAGAAAATTCAATTGGGCTGAGATAGCTTAGATTGTCTGGAAAAAGTAGTTTCATTTAATTTTTAATGCAGAAAGGATATTTTCTACCTTGTATTAGATTCGATATTTTGTGCATAAGTTATCCAATGACGTCAACTTATAAACATCTCACCAATGACCAAGTTAGCAAAGGGGGAAGGAAACGACCACTTGCTTCATTACTTGCGTTCTCTCTGCAGATTCTAGAATCATCTAACCCTGCATGCCCTGCTCAAGTGCTCAATCTCTATGGGCGATTTTAGGCGTAATGAAGTTTCATTTCACAACACCATGGTCAAACCGGACCATGATTTGTATTTTTGTTTCTGTTTTATTAGATGTTGTTCAGATTAGGTTCAGATAATCAGATGGGACTTACTACTCTGTGACTGCAAATTTTCGAACTCAACCAGGGCCACCTATATAGCCTTCGATGTTAAAATTGGAAACACCATCAAAAATTGCATGAACGTCACTTTTTTTATTTGTTTTGTCAGACTTGCATAGTTCCGGATATTCCATAGGTATTGGTAATTCCTTTGTTTGGTGTATGATATCGGAATCGGAATACAACAAATTGATCGACATACAAATTGAAAAGTCACATTCGAAAAAATCTGAATTTAATGAGGAAGTAGGTACTCGGAAAGTAGTATCTTATTAGTAGACAAAACCACATTTTGTTATCTTTCAGGATTCATGAATCATATATCACTCGTAAAATAAATATGTAAACTATGGTTTGATTCGATTGAACAAACAATAGAAAGAAAAATTGAACAATATAGTTATTTATTATACAAGAGAAAATAGTAGTATGTACATTTTAAATGAGATTTAAAACTGTTTGCCCGTCACAGAAAAAATATTTTTGGTAAAGAAAGGAACTAAACTTATTTATAAAAACTTATTTCGAAAAAGTGTGAATCTGAAATAAGTGATCTGAATTCACCCCAATATACCCTCTATTAGCTAATTAGCTCAGGTTGCAATCTCCCCGATTCATGACGAAGCACCTTGTACATAAATATGATGCAAATTACATGGAATATTTGTAAATAATCGAAGAGTATAACTCAAGAATTCGGTTAGACGATGTAGGAGTCACTACTTTCTTATGATTACGCTGACATTGCTGACAGAAGGCTGACAGCCTCCAAAGCCCTTGACAAGATTCTCCCTATCGGTAATATGTTTGCCGAGTGTTTGCCGAACAACCAGACGAACATACCCGAACTGCACCAGCGCTCGAACGTGAAACTAAAAATAAGGCGCCAACCGCCAAAACAAATTAATATGTATATGTTTTTACATGCAGCAGGGCAGATATTTTTTGTGGGTGTGTTAAATGCTTTTGAGTCGCAGGTAAGTTAAACAAATACCCTATTATTATATACAAGAATAAGAATAATAATTGTCTTAGTGGTCGGTTTTTATTCGGTAGAGAGGCCATCAATATGATCACTATATTGTGTATATACAGGGTGTCCCATTGGGAAACGAAAAAACTTCAACGGTGGGTATAGAGCTCATCAAGGTGGCTCTGAATCTACCATATTTGTAGGGTCTTACAAGTTTTATATCCGAGATATAGGGTGTTTTATCAATTTTGCCCAATTCTTTGTGAGGACATAACTTACGAACCACTTAGTATATTCTTTTGCAATTTGGTACACAATTCCTTCTTTTTCTACCAAAGCGACTCACCTATCAGTCACGAAAAAAATCAGGGTCCGGATTAACAAAAGTTGATAAAATTTCGGGACACCAAAAAGAACACCCTGTATTTTCGAATTCTCAAAGTCCGCTTACATATTTGGAAAGTGCACAAAAAGCTGAACCAAATGGTGTACTTGTCCTTTTTCCGCATGCAATTTCACTAAGGAATTTCTGAATTTGAATTCGCGAGGTTTTACGCATTTGGATTAGGTAAAAATAATATGATTTGAGTTTTCCCATCGAATAACAACAATCATCACGAACCACCCAGTATATTCTTTTGGAAGTTAGTACACGAGTTCTCCTTATTCCTTATACCCAAAAGCGCCTCACCTATATCATCCACGAGAAAAATCCAGGTCCGGATAACGAAAATTGATCATATTTCTGGACCCCAAAAAGAACACCCTGTATTTTCGAATTCTCAAATCCGCTTACATATTTGGAAAGTGTACAAAAAGCTGAACCGAAAGTTGTACTTTTCATTTTTCCACATGCAATTTCACAAAGGAATTTCTGATTTGGAATTCGAGGTTTTATATGCAATTGGATAGGTAAAAATAATATGTTTTGAGTTTTCCCAATCGAATAATATCACGAACCACCCAGTATATTTTTTTGGAATTTGGTACACGAGTCCTCCTTGATCTACCCAAGCCCCTCACCTATCATTCACGAGAAAAATCCAGGTCCGAATTAACGAAAATAAATTATATTTCTGGGCCCCAAAAAGAACACCCTGTATTTTCGAATTTCCATAATATGCTAACAAAGTTGAAAATTGCACAAAAAGCTGAATCGGATTGTCTACTTTTTGTTTTCATACGAATGCTATTTCACTCCTGAATTTCTGATTTTGAATTTGAGGTTTTATGCATTTGGATAGGTAGAAATCGAGGTAAGATGGGAAGTTTTGAGTTTTCAGAATAAGAAATTAATTAGTGAAAGAACATGCGGGATATTGAAAAGTACACAATTCGATTCATTTCTTTGTAAACTCTCCAAATATGGAATCGGATTTTGGAAATTCGAAAATAATGGGTGCTCGTTTTCAGGCCCAGAAGATCATAATTTTTTGTTAATCCGGACCTAAATTTTCATCGTGACTGATAGGTGAGTCGCTGGGGTAGAAGAAGGAGGACTTGTGTACCAAATTCTAGAAGAATATAGAATATACTGGGTGTCCTCACTGCCTCCATGATTATTCTCACCAAGACTGATTTCGTATAATTGGTTTCATTATCTTTTCTTCCAATTATGAACCCAACGTGAAAGTGCACCTTATAATTATCCAATGTTTCGAACATGAAAATCATCATCAGTGTTATATTTGATGATGGTTACAAGAACACGAAACGTCGTATCACAAATCTGATCACGGCAACTCATAGAGAAGCACCAATTAATGGCTGCAAAATAAATGTCAAATTCATTATGGTCCCTCTCTTTTAGTAGAATAAATTGAAAAGAATTTCTTGCAGTTTCAAATCCTCAGAAATTTTTCGATTTTACAAAAAAGGTAGACCCTCGGATAGACCAAAATGATTTTGACATTTCTGCAGCAGTTTTTCTTTCTTCTCTACAAGATGCCGTCATCAGATTTTTGAACTCAAATTGCTTTATTATAACTTAGAATATTGTAGCTCGAACAGTATACGTATATTTTGAGGTCTTTTCATTCATAGCCTATAGTGATCAAGTAACAGCAAAAACATAAATAATGCAGTACAAGCACATAAAAAGCACAAGGAAGACATCATCTTGGAGCAAATAATATGATGAATCCTTACTACACATATATTGAAATAATATACCCATTTTGAATCGAAAATTGTTTTTCTTGAAAATTATATCCCTAATAACACAATTATGTCCCATGGATATCCTTTGGACATCCTGTCGGGACATCCAGGACGTCCATAGGTCGTTCGAATTTTGTACCGTAGACGTCCATTGGACGTCTGTGGGACGCATATATGTCCCACTTGAGGACCAATTAGGGACGTCCTTGAGGGATGTCCCTGAGACAACTATTGAAAACCTAAATCCTACAGTATTCCTCATCAAAAGCACTACGGAGGACATCCTCAGGACATCCGTTGGACAACCTATCAGCAACGCTTAGGGATATCAATTGGATGTCAATAGGATGTCCCAGGGACATACGAATTATTGTTGAATTTGAATTCTGGGTCTCTCTAGGACTAGATCATTCGTTGGCGAGGTGTAAGTAAACGTCCTCGCAGGGACAACATAATGGAAGTACCGACTGAGACGTCCGTAGAACGTTATTTCTAGGACATTGTAAGAGTACAGTTCATGTATCAATTGGGACATCCGACGGATATCACTAAGGGACATTTCGATTGTTATACGATCCTGGAAATATTAAGGGCGTTTGTGCAGAGATATTTAAAGGAATGTACCATCAGGGGCATTTCAGGGTTGTCTAAAAGGGACATTATATAAGATATGCAGTCACGTCAGAATATGTACTACTCGGGACATCCGATGGATGTCCCTAAAGGAACGTTTAAAATCATATTCCATTAGGGACATGCCAAGGACGTCCTTGCATGGACATTATACAATGTGTACAACGTGGGACGTCTAAGAGATGGTTGAAATACGTTCTCTGAAATAGGAGAAAGTAACTGTTGAAATAGCCAACAAAGAACAAATACTTTCCTGGCTAATATAAAACCTCCAAAATCTACATCAGGATTTCAATTTCATGGAATATATGTAGAATCGGAACCCTAATTTAGATTTCGAGAGTATTATTATCCAGGAAATATTTAGTAGGTCTCTGTTAGATGTTTTAACAAAGATTATCACATATTTAAGACAACTTATACCCAACCAAGGGGATATTCCGACGATGGGACACAGTAAAAATGGATGGAATTCAGGACGTCCATAGGACGTTCGAATTTGGTACCGTGGACGTCCATTGGACGTCTGTGGGACGCACAAATGTCCCACTTGAGGACCAACTAAGAATTTCATTGAGAGGTGTCCCTGGGACAACTATCGAATACCTAAATCCTACAGTATTCCTCATCAAGCACTACAGAGGACATCCTTAGGACATCCATAGGACAACCTATCAGCAACGGTACGGGATATCAATTGGATGTCCATAGGATGTCCCAGGGACGTACGAATTATTCTTGAATTTGAATTTTTCTGGGTCCCTCCAGGAGCAGATCTTGCATAACTGATTAGGACATCCAGTTGAGTTGATGGTTCGTAGAAGGTCCCCAAAAAGTTTACAAAGGATGTCCAATGGACTTACGTGAAGGACATTGACGAGGAGTACTTATAGCCTACGAGCAATCATTCGTCGGCGAGGTGTAAGTTAACGTCCTCACAGGGACAACATATTGAAAGTACCGACTGGGACGTCCATAGGACGTTATTTCTAGGACATTGGAAGAGTACAGTTCATGTACCAATTGGGACATCCGACGGATATCCCTAAGGGACATTCGAATGATGAAAGGAATGTACCATCAGGGACATTTCATGGTTGTCTAGGGACATTATATAAGATCTGAAGTCATGCCAGAATATGTACTACTCGGGACATCTGATGGATGCCCCTAAAGAAACGTTTAAAATCATATCCCATCAGGGACATGCCAAGGACGTCCTTGCATGGACATTCTACAATATGTACCACGTGTGACGTCTTAGGGATGCTATTTCTATGGGGCATTTGAAATGATGTACCAGCTGGGACATTCCGTGGACGTCCCTGCTCAATCATTGCTTGAGATGTACGGGATGGGACGTCCCAAGGACACTTTTATTTTTGGTTCGGGACATTCGGACGTGAATTGTACCAAATAGGGACGTCTCCCTAGGACGATGTGTGCTTTTAGGGCTGAGAATCTTCTATGTACATTTTTGAGAACATTCTGAAACATTATCAGAATGATTTCAGGATATGCTGAGAATATTCTTAGTCTATTCTAGGGAACATTCTGAGAATGTTTTCCGAATATGCCGAGGACATTCTCAGTATATTTGGAGGAATATATTCTGAGAACCTCCTGGGAACACAAGTTTCTGTCTAATTTCCATGTTCTCATAATATTCTCAGAGTGTTATGCGCACGTTATTGTGAGAACAATCTGGATTCTGAATATAGTTCACCCCGAAGAGCACCTTGTATACATTTTTGCTAAAACGAACATTGAGTAAGCAAGAAGCCCTTTAGAGTATAATATCGCCAGTTGATTTTGAATCCAGGAATCTACCATTTTCTTCTCTTCCCATTTGAATAGCGACACCCTGTATGATTTACGTGCTCAGATTTTTTTCTCTAGATACTTTCTGTTAAAGTGCAATCATTTTAATCTGTTAGTTATTTATTAAGCAAGTGACGATAATTATCTTATCACTAAAACTCTTATCTTAACATTTTTGAAATTTTTGTTGAATCACATTTTGGCAAATAGTATTGTTGATAGACAGTAGACATCCACTATTCAATTGAGTATCTGTAGAGTGTAGAGGTAATGAAATTGTTTCAT